ATTCTGGATGTGCCTCAGACGGAAACCCGGGAGAGCATCGCTGCCTCTCATATCTTGGCATGGACTTGCCAGGGCTGACCCTGCCGCCCGCTTCACAGAGAGTTGCTTTGGGAGGGGGCAGTTCTAGGCTATCATAGTTACAGATTGTTTGCCAAACAGCAGTTTTTAGGCCGTACTCATGAAATAAACTCCTGGCTTCATTGTTAGAACAAATACATTGGAGGAAGCCCGTAGTTTTTATTGTTTATTTTTTTAACTTATGATCCTGTGCCTTGGACAGTACTGGGCCTAGTGTTTATGGAATGAAAGCCCCTCCCTCCTTAAAAACCTTTAACATTCTCTCATTGTCGTTAGATGCATTGTTCATTGTGGTAGCCACCAACCACATGTGGCTATTGAGCACTTGAATGTGGCTAGTGAGAATTGAGAGGTGCTGTAAAGGAGAAAGCACCAGATTTCAAAGACTTAGTACCCAATTAAAGAAAAAGTCTTCAATAATATTTATATTGATCACATGTTAAATAAGATACCATTTTATATTGGATTAAATAAAAATATTTAACTTCACTTATTTTTACTTTTTTAAATGTGGCTTCTAGAAAATTTAAAACAATACATGCAGTTCACATATTTCTATTGGATAAGGCTAGTGTAGCACCCTTTCTTGAGCTTGTCATTTGCATACCACATGTACAATTTCTACCATATTCAGGTACCACCTGTACTTTTTTGAAAAAATTTTTTAAATGAGCTCACTGTTTTATAAATTGAGGTATCATTTACATATAATAAAATGCGCCGTTTGACAGGTTTTGGCATTTGTAATTACCCAAGTAACCAGCCCTCAAATCAAGACAGAACATCTCCTTCACCGCAAAGTACCCCTTTCCAGTCAATTCCCTTCCTCCTCTTCAGTTTGTCTTTTTAATTTAAATTTATTTTTTAAAATATGTTTATATGTATGAAATCCTGGGTTTGATGTGCTGGTTATATTTTTTTCCCCAAGACATATGAAAATGAGTGCATACTATTAATATAAATACACCGTTCTGTGTAAGCCCGGGGGTCTGGATGTTAGACTTGGGTAGCAGAGGTCTGCATCCCTGCTCCGCTTCAGCCCTTCCCACCTGCTCGCTGTCCCTTGAACTCGCTGTGAACCTGCCGGGGAATCCTCCTCACTGCTGGTGTCCGCCAGCCGTGCCCTGGGTCGCTTCCTCATTTGTTTGTGTCCCTGGAACCCATTGCACACACCTGTCCCATTGTTTTATGCTTTTTGCAGGGACATTTCCCCCCACTTGCCATTGAGAGAAGGAGATCTTTGAGGGCAGGGGCCAGGAAATCATCTGTTTTTAGCTCCTGGTGTTCAGTAGGTGTTTGCTTAGTTGAGACAGGATAATCCTGAGTTAAAGTCAAATCTGAGTCATCAAAAAACACCTGGGAAATGGAGGGAACTTTCTCTTCTTTCCACCTGGAAAGTGGTGTGTTTTTTGTTTGTTTGTTTGTTGCAATAACAGGAAGATAACTAGTATACTTCTCAAATATATAGTGTTGGGGTGGAGTCAGCGAAGCAAGCAACCCATTTAGTACACAGGCAAAACGAAGATGGGACAAAGGGCAAATGCTCATTGGGAGATTACAGGCCAAAAAGCAGAACAGAGAAACCCAGCTCGGACTCAGAAATGACTAAGACGGGCCTTTGCTGTTCCCAGTTACCTGAGCCAGTGACTTGCCCCAGATAGAAGCCCTGATTCAAGGTTTCAGAGAAACTGCCAGCTAACCGTGTGAGTTTAAGACACATTAACAACCTTTAAAAATCCTCACCCAGTTGTGACCCTAACAACGACTTTAGTGGTCTCGCAATTGTCATTTTCTTGTTTTCCTTCTTGCCGTTAGCCTGGAAGTCTTATGAGGGCAGGAACTGCACTAATTCATTTCTATTTCTATACACCTAGCGTGATAACTGGTGCATAGTAGGTGTACAGCCAGTATTTGTTGACTGAGTGGATAAAAACACATTAAAAGCAACTTTACTAAGTAGTTCTCAATTTGATAATTTCACCTTTAGCCTTCATAGTACTTAGCAGTGAAGAAAATGGGGGCATAAAAATTGTATTACTGACGATAAATCTCATGCTTTGTTTTTATCAGCAAAGGTGCTTATTTGGACATTGTACGTGTGTATCAGCAGAACAGTGGATTTTGAAATGTGTGAGTTGGCCGAGTGACAAGGGGCCAGTTAGAGGTATTTTTGGTGGTGATAAATTGCACAGAGCCATTTCCCCTGATTTTTTTTTTTTTTTTTTTTTTTTTTTTGGGGGTGTGAAATGTGCAGAGGCACTTTCCCCCGTTTTTTTTTTTTTTTTTTTTTTTTTTGGTTGTTAAGGCTGGTGAAAGAAATAAGCCCCTGATCGTGGTTATTACCCACGGGCCAGCTGGACAGGAAACTAGTGATACACACACACTGTGGCCTGTGACTTCACCTTCCAGTTAGATGTGAGGAATTTGACCATGGTACCT